TCTATTGCTTTTTTTAGAGAGAATGGAAGGAGTAGAAGGGATAGGGAGGGGGAGAGAGAAAGAGAGAGAGAGAGAGAGAGAGGGAGAGAGAGAGAAACACTGATGTGAAAGACACATCAATTGGTTGCCTCCCAAATGAACACTGATGGTGGCCTGGCATCAGAACCTGTAACCCAGGTATGTGCCCTTGACCAGGAATTGAACCTGAGACCCTTTGGTTCACGGGCCAATGCTCTAACCACTGAGCCAAACCAGCCAGGGCATCCAGTATAACTTATGACTTGCCAAAAACTTAACTACAGTTGTCCCTAGTTACCTGCGGGAAATTGGTTCCAGGACCCCCACAAATACCAGAATTCAAGGATGCTCAAGTCAGTTATATAAAATGGCATAGAACAATGCATACAGTCAACCTTCCACATCTGTGGATTCCCAATCAATGATCGAAAATACTGTTTCTGATCCATTGTTGAATGAACCTTCAGACTCGAAACCTGGGGATGTGGAAAGCCAACTATATTTAATGGGGGGAAAACCCACTTATAAGTAGACCCACACAATTCAAGTCCATGTTGTTCAAGGGCCAACTGTAAACAAAATTAGAAATAACATGATAAGATGCACAGTTTCTACCAAATTTTCCTTCTTGTTTTCCATTTAAAAAAAAATCTTTGCGAATGCTTTGAGAACTATAATGCACTCTACATATATAGGAGATTATTAGAACATACTCCCCAATGCCTTACCCTCTGCTCCAGCCTAAAGAATGCCATCCCTAAGTGAGCCATGTTCTCTTGGGCCCCTGAAAATGGTATACATTCTTCTCCTCCCCTCTCCACCTTTTTGACGTCGTTGACTGGTCAGTCTTCACATCTAAGTTTAGATCTCCCTTCCTGGAACACTTCCCTGGCCCCCCTTTACCCCGCCCACCCAACTACCCAATGCTGAGTTGAGTTAGATAGCTTTTCATATGTTCTCCAGAACACCCTGGGCCTGTACTTCCCTGCCTTAGCACTTACTGCACTTATTATAGGTGTAAATATAGATGCCTGTGTCCTTTATTAAGTTGTAAGTACAGAGAGACCTATATTTGACTTAGCTAGCCATTGCATCCCAGTACATATCACAGTTCCTAACACATATTTGTTAAATGACTGAACCCTTCCACATTTACAAAAGCTTTTGAGACAAAACAACACCAACAAAACAATACATTTTAAGTGGGCCACCTAGTAGACACTGAAATAGTTAACACTTGAGATTGACTTGACTAGAATATCAGATACCATGACTGGGTGGTGAGAGATTTTTTTTTTAAACTAATATCTTTAGAGGATTCTTATTGAATTAGTCAGTATGGTTTATTGAGCTTCTACTATATCCCCGTGTAAGCCTCTAGGAATATATAGTGATGGTAGGACGCAACTCCAGCCCCAGAGTTCACAGTTGAGTGGACAGTCACTAAGGCTGTGAATTGCTGAAGAACTGTAAGAATAAAGCAGGGCCTCTTGTTCTGGAGAATATCACAGAACTCCATTTAGGGATGCTGTGAGCTGTTGCAATCCCAGCATTTCTCTATAGTAGGGGTTTCAGTCAGGAATTTGGTTGGAAGGGGTGGGTCAGGGGTGTTGCTTCCAGGCCACTGTCACCTAGCAAGCACCTTGTCTTACCTTAGACTAGGGTTCCTCAACCTCAGCACTATAGACATTTTAAGCAAGGTATTTCTCTGTTGTGGGGCTGTCCTGTGCATTGTGGATGTTTATGTTCAGCAGCATCGCTGGCCTCCACCCACTAGATGACAATAGCACCACCCACACCATTTGTGACAAAAATGTCTCCAGATAGTACTGCCAAATGCCTCCTGGACTGAGGGAAAATCACCACTGGCAGATTGTTTATGATAGTTGGGGGGGGGGGACCATCAGGGAGGTTTTGGTTTGTTTTGGATTATGGGTTTTAGCCTTCTTGGAAGTTTGATGTGAAAGGAGGCAAAAGTGACTCTTGCACACCAGCAGAACTCGCTGCCTATTCAGTATTTGAAACTGCGGCGTGGCTGGCACACAGCCTATCTCAGTAAATATATGTTGCATGCACTTTTCAGCACACAGCTAAGGGAGTGACGGGGCCTCCAGCAAGTGCCGCGAAACTTGAAGAAAAACTTCCACGTAGCATCCACGATAGACTCTGGAGCGCAGGGATCGGTTTAGGTAAGCGCCACGATCACGTGGTTCCCAGCCCAGGCTAGAGGCCCGCACGGTCTCGGACTCCACGCCACTCTCCAGAAGAGCGCAGAAGAGCCCAGAAGAACGCAAACGGAAGCGAGTTGCTCACCTGGCGGCAGGAAGAGCGTGGCGCGCACCGGGCCCGCGCGCACCGGCTCCCGCAGCACGC